TGAGAACTGTCTGTATATGTTCACACTTAACTCTCACAATAACTTCAGCAGGAGTAATTCGGTAGCTTGCCAAAGAGAGAGGGGCAGTCATGACATCTCAATTCAACAACAAAAATATTTTTTTAAAAAAGCTTGGTTGTGCAGGAAAGAGCTGCTGTTTTTTTTTCCAGCCCCTGAAAGCTCACTGGGTATCAATTCTAAGACTCTCTTCTCCCTAATCCTGGGGTAGACAGATCTGTCCCCTAGCTTTAGTCAAGTGCCTCACCAGGCTCCTGGAGATAACTGGATGTTCAGAAATGAGGTGTTCTAGGAGCGCCATGGAAAGAAACACGTGTGCTATACCCCACTGGGGCCACAGGTGCCTCTCCTCCCTACACAGCCCTCCCCAGAGATGCCCTACCCAAGATGCAAAAGAAGGATCTTGCGAGCGGAGAGCTCCCGCTGGCCACGTCACCTCGGAGCCCGGTGCACCACACATACAACACCTTCCGGATCTTTCCTGCATAAACAGACTGTTTTGATGATCGTCTACTGTGAAACGAGCTACCCCCAAACTCAGTGGTTTAAAACAACAACTATCACCAGCGCTGATTGTCTTATATGAGGCTGGACTTGTCTGGTCTCAGCTGGGCAGTTCTTCTGCTCTGCGTGTCATCAAATGGGCTGGAACATCCCAGATGACTCACTCATGGGGCTGGCAGTTCATGCTGGCTGCCGGCTGGGCACTCACCTGGGGCTGTAGATGAGCGTGGGAAACAACGTGGTCTCTTCTCTGTGGCTTCTTCTTGCCTGGTGGCGGGGTTCCCGGAGGGAGTGTTCCGTGCAGACAAAACCAGAAGCTGGGGATCTCTAAGGCCAAGCCTGGAAAGTGACACAGTTTCACTCCTGCTACATTCTAGTGGTCACAGTAAGTCAAAGGGCCGGCCCTCATTCTCCCAAGGGAATGGCCGTAGATTTCAGTTTTTTGGACAGAGAGGTGGCAAAGGATTGGAAGCTATCTTTAACTCACTGCGTCGCCGGTTAGACTGCTGACCTGCCACAGGGCTTATGTGAGAGGGGAGAGGCTGCTGTCCCCAGCAAATGCCCTGGTGACAGCATCACAGGGGTCGAGGGAACCCTCCGGGTGTCAGGGTATGGCACCTCCTCTTCCCCAGCTGGGAACGCCGGCTCAGGCACATTAGTGAAGGGGAGCAGTAGAGTCAGCAGGATGTCCGAGCCTTGGCTTCAGCATCAGAGATAAGCGGGTCACAAAATTATTTACCTCTTTTGGCCTTTGTGAGGATTAAATGCACGTTCCATCGTTGGCTGTCTGTAACGAGCCAACTGACATTCCATTGTTATTAACATCATCCTGCAGCTGCAACACTATCTTTAAATCTAGTCCATTTAGAGAGATCCTGTGGCCACGAAAGGGAAAGTTACTCCCTTTCCATGACAGCTTCTCTCCCTGTGGAACCCCCTTCTGCAGCCCGGCTGATGCAGGCATCCCTGCATGGTAGCCACTGGCTACAGTTGCTGCTGGGGGTCAGACATTTTTTGCTGAGACATTCTGAGTCAACTTTTTTGGCAAGGGCAACTGGAGCCCCCAGGCCTGAAGTCAGGACACATAAAACCTGTCTGTCACTGTGATCTTGAAGGTGCTCTAAGCCTGGCTTCACTGGAGCCCCAGGGGCGAGTGGATAGGAAGGGTTAACTTAACCTGAAGGCACTTACTGAAAAGCGAAGAGCCCTTAAAAGTTATAAAAAGGCAAAGGACTCCAATGCAACATCTTAAAATAGATTTTTTGTTTTATAGGACCAGCTACAGAATTGTTCAGCCAACCACTTCTTGGAGGAAAAGTAGGTCTGGGGCTAAACACACATTTCAGGGAAAATAACAGAAAAACAATCGCTGACATCTCTTTGTATTTTAAACAAATGCTTTTACATCTATTGTGCTAATTTAATAATCACAGATCGAGGGTAAGGGCGGGCCTTAACCTTTTTACATTCAGAGACTATTTCTGATATTTCTAATTGATTTCTCCCCTGAGATACAATAATTTTAGTAAATCACAACAACACTTAACCATAGCCTGACTGAGCAATCTCACTGTCAGAGCTGTCTGGATTAATTTGCTGTTACAATGTTTGTTTTCTTTTAAAAAAAATTCTAATTAACAACAACAACAAAAAAAAATGGGTCAACAAGCCAGTAAATATTTAAACAAGTGTCACGTTTTATTTGAAAAGTTGTCTGGGAAGAGCTGGCAATTTATGAATAAATTATAGATAGCATAGCCTCTGCCATTCTTGGACTTCCAGTATTAATCCGTGATCCTAGCCTTTCTGGAATGCAGGCTCGGTGATTTGATTTCATCTCACCCCAACCTATCTCTCTGCTAAAAATGATGTGTGGCAAGGAATTTCTTCTATTCAAATCAAATGAATTTGCATTAATTTCTTTTATTAAACTTGAGAACTTCGCCATAGTCTGAAGCTATTCAGAACTCAGCTCCATCTGGCCTCTCGGGGCTGGCAAAACCAGCCGTGATAATCTCTGGCTTAGAACATCGGGAGGGCCTTTATGATGAAAGGCAGGCTGCTGTTTTGTGTGTTTGTTCTGTTCTTTAAATGCAAAAAGAGAAAGTGTGAACATTCTGAGACTGCTCCTTTGAAAACGATGGGTGGAGCGGCCAAGACAACTGAAATCTGGCAAATGGTTTTCGGTTGTTTTTTTGCGTTTAAAAAC